AGACAATGCAGTATGATTAGAGCGAAGCCCTGTCTGAACTGGCTAAGAGGGCTGTGGAAGAGATGGGAGTGGCAGGAGCCAACGCCACAGCAAGTTTAAAGCCAGAGTTTGAGGCCCCGATTCTTGTTCATGCACAGTGACTAGACAGGAATTTTCAATGATGGACTTCTAGTCACCATTCTCCACTCACTCTCTAAAACAGAGTGACCAACAGAGGCTGCTGGTGCAGCAGAGCCAGATCTGATGGGCTAGAGAACAGAATAAAAATAAGAAAACAATTTCCCCTGAGTATAAGTGAAATGGAAGAGACTGGGGAGCAGTTAGTTGATTAATCACACCATGAAGCTGCTGCAGAGAGAAGTACCTAGTAGAGAGTCCATAGTCCTGCTGCTTTCAAATCTGCTCTGTAGATGAACACAGTTGGGAGTTCTCAGTAAGTGTGGATGGTGGCTACTGAAGAAATCAAAAGCACCCATGATCCTACCCATTAATTCATCTTCCATTCATTCAAACTTCATGAGCCAGGCAGGAGACATAGTCCTCGCCCTCAGAAGCACCACCAAGTAGAAGAGGTGCATTCAAATGCTGTTCTCAACAGAAAAGGTAGTTAGAAAAGCATCGGTGGGCTACCAGAAGGGAGCCATCTTCCCTTTGCTTCATGTGTCCTATGAGGAAAAATCCATCAGAATGGCAGTAGCATTCTCTCTCTCTGGATCCTTCTCGGGAGAAAAGCCAATTATGCAAGTCTGTGGAAAAGGCACAAAGCACAGGTGCCTTGGCCCTACCCGCCCTCCCTGTAGGTAGACCTGCCTGCTGCAGGAGCCCATGTTCTCTGCTCTCTGGGCTCTCAGTGGTGTAGAGGGAGGCTCTGCTAGGAGTAAGCTCACTGTTGGGTGTGATCACACTGGGGTGTGATATCAGCAAGGCAGCTTTACCATCCAACACAAAACCAGAAGAAATAGTCCATTGTAGCCTTATATTAAATTTGATGTTTGTGTCTCCCTTTGTGACTTCTTTGACTCTCTGTGACTCAGTTCTGAATTTGAGTTGGGTACAGAGTCATCATTTACTAGACCCCCAAAGCCAAGCATTGACTGCAACTGCTTCTCTTTGCTACGAGTATTTGACTCTATCTCATCTCCCAGTTTTCTCTAAAGTTATTATTATTTAGATTTACAATATATTAGTGATGGGCAGTTTTCCCTTCTTTTATGGGAGAAAAACTATAGAACCTGAGCATTCAATGACTTATCAGAAGTTATTTGATAAGCCAATTTGTTCAGTTAGGAAGGAAAATTGATACCCCTTAATAGAGATGTTATTTGGAGCATATAGCCTTCCATTTGAAATCTTTTTTCAGGAGAGTGCTGATTATTGGAAATAATTTTTCTGCCATAAGAGGTGCTAGTCTATTAGACCTAGAATAGAATAGAATATTCATTTACCCTATTTTTCTTATAAAGTTTTGAGGATGAAGTAAGAAGGAGAGGAATTGGGGATAAGGAGTAGAAAACCATTTTCTAGCTCTGGGGTTTATACTTCATTCATGAAACAATTACTGTGGTCCTAAGTGCCAGGCACCATCCAGGGAATACAGAGATGAATATAACACTGTCCCTAATGAATCCACTTTTTTATTCTCCCTGAATAGTACTGCAACAAATTTCTGTTGGAAAATATATCGATACACATAACCATCTACACAGTGTGTCCATAGAGAATGGATTACTCTGTGGTTCCCGCTACCTCCTTTATAGAGGTTCTAGTTCTCCAGCTATTTGAAGTAATTTATTACAACAGTTTTTTTAAAAAGACAATGGATGCCAATATCATCCTAATGCAAATGCAGATCATAAGGTACTACCCTGTCCTATGGCTGGAAAGCACACCTCTAAGCTTCCCAGGTGCCCATAAATGCAAAACACAGGTCCCGACCAGGCTAGGAACATAAATAAGATCCTGTATTTAAATTCAGAGAAGAAAACATAACCCAAGGTAACCAAAAAACAATAAACAAAGGGGCACCTCTTTTTCATCTTTAATGCAAGGCTGAAGGTTCAACAAAATGAATAAGTAGTTGCTAGTAACACTTTTTACAAGTTCAAGTTTACTTAAGAAAGGTGTTACACATAGTAAAAACCTTCTAATTTGTTACTAATTAGAAAGACTGGCTGGCAGGAATACATGAAAATTCAGGATAGAAAACACATGCCACACAGTATGCTTCTTAAAAGGAGAGCAATAGGTGTGAATACAAGTAACATTTACCAAGGATCCGGGTTCCAGGAACCCTTCTATAAGCCCTTCCTTTATTTATTTAATCCTCAGTGTTCCCAGGAAGTAAACAGTAGTGACCCCACTTTTTTTCCAGATGTGTAAACTAAAGCTCAGATGTTAAGTAACCTCAGTTTCTCTGGTAAATTTCCTTATTGTCCAAATTAGCGTTTCTCAACGAGCTTGAGTAAGCCGGTTATTACTTGGTCTTGGCTTGGAAACCTTGTATGAGATGGCCATGCACTACGTATATTTAGCATCTCGGAACATGGGCACGGAACGTGGGCACAAAATACCAATAACAGCCCCCAGTAGCAGTTCCTACATATTCCAGACGTGCCGAAGGAAGACAATGTCACTCAGCAGTAGATGAAGACTACTGCTCTAAAAGATGCTTTGAGCATTAAGACAAAAGACTAAAGAGAGGGGTGCTTCCTTTAAAAGTCTCCCCCACCTTCAAATCGTTCAGAAGTCACTTATTTTACAGTATTAGGCACTTGAGAAAACTCCATGCATCCTTATGGAAGCAGTTACAAAAGTTCCATGAATGTATCTGCCATGCAATTCAAGAGCATTTACTCAGTGCCTATTAGGGAACAAGTACTACGCTATTGGCTGGGAATACAAAATCAAAGAGCGCATACTCCCGACCCCCAAGGGGTGAGGGGCAGATGAAGTATGCTCTGTTAGGACAGATATAAGCAGGGGTTCTAGGGAAGCTCAGTGCAGGAGGCACCTCCCATAGACTGGGACAGAGCACTGGGAGGGCAGAGGAAAAGGGAGAGGCGGGACAGGTTCCCAGAGGAAGTGAAGTTTTCCCTGAGACTTAAAAGACCCAGTGGGAGTAACCAGGAAAGGCCTGGTCCAGCATGAGGCCTTTGCAAAGACCAGAGATAGGAATCATATTTGCAGCAAAACTTTAAAATACTTTCTCCATTCTTCAAGTTGCGATCTCATTGTGATTCATACTCAAGATGTTTTGTTTACTAGAAAGGTACTTTAAGTGAATTAAGTCACAATAAAATAAAATAAACTGTCCACAGTTCTCATGTATTTCCTTCAAAGGCCTTTGTTTTTGTAAGATCTGGCTTTACAGGTATAATCACCCATCCAACAAGAAGTATGGCAAATCCTGTATTTCTTGCAGTGAACAGGAAATTGTTTTCAAGAATATTGTGGACTGGCAACAAGTACGAGTGTCCCTCACTTGGGGACACATAAAAGTGGTAAAGAGAAGAGATCATAATCAATGTCATCTGATGGGTGAGGTACAAGGGATAGCAGTAGGTCAACTTGATGTGGTCTTAAGCTCAAGATAAACTTTATCTTGAGCATTTGCACAGAAAATAAAACCTAAAAAAGTCTTTAATTATTTGTTGTTGCTGTTTTTTTAATGACACAGAGAAAGAAGAGAGAAGAATGGACTTTACTTTTGTTAATACAGTTGGAAAAACTGGAAGTGGCTAGCTGGGGATCTCTGAACCTGAGATAGCCTCAAAGCAATAGTTTATGAGTTTATGGGTGCTAAGTGTAGGAGCTAGATTGTTGCTACTTCATGTTGTTAAGACAGTAATCATAGGGAGACCAAGAGTCAGATTAGTTCAGTTTCTCACTCCTGGGGCAGGGAAGGGAGGGAAAAACAAGCGAGCCCGTGTGGTTCCTTCTTGTCTCCAGCCTACAAGGAACAGGCTCATTTCCCCTTGGCAAGGAGCCCGGTGCAGTGGGCAGGCATGCCCTCTTGCTCCTACCTCAGTTCCCCTCTGACCCGAACCGCATTCAGGAACCATAATTCTGTAGGCGAATGGAGGCTCCCATTTAGTCCCACGATCATTTTATTTTACCATCCAGGCACAGTCTGACCTCTTAATCTGACATCACAAACACTTCTGGTCCACATTTTTCTCCCCAGAAAATACCCTCAACAAAAAAGCCTGTGTTACAAGGTAAGAGAAACTGAAATGAAAAACTCTCGGGATCTCTCACAACCCGCTGGACCCGGCTTTCAACCAGGAAGTTCAAAGGAGGCAGGACTGCACGGTCCAAACTGGAATGCCAACACGCAGAATTGTAAGAGGATGAGGAAGGTGGTCTTCAAAGAAAAGGAGTAACCCCATGGAAGAGTTTGTTGAACTTTTCCCCCCCTGGCTGTTTCCATTTCATTCCTGTAAACTTTGCTGAGCCCGGGAGGGCTGTATAAGCAGAAACAGGTGTAGGGACACCTCCGCCCTTTGGGGACATCTGCTGCCGCCACTGCTGGGTGCAGACGATGAGGGGCCTCGACCCAACCGCCACCCTAGCTTCCCCATGACGCACCTCGACAGGGTCCTCTCCCACGTGTGTCTGGGGCAAACCGAGCATCCCGAGCCCCGTGGCCACCCAGCATGACCTGGCGGAAGGGGGCAGAGAAACGGGGCACGTCGGGGCTGAAACCTCATGCAGGACTCCCCAGCTTTCCCCACACCTCCAGGATATCGTTTCCCATTAGGGACACTTTCTTCCCCTCCTACCCCAAAGTGCCGCGCACGTGACAGGTCTTTCCAGAGCCACTGAATAAAGCGCCTGCTGGCCTCCCGCGGCTCAGGTGAGTGGGGAGAAGGTGTGGGAGAAAGGGGCCCGCTCTCCGCCACCCTCTCCTCCCTACGATCGATCGCCACGCTTCATCAGGGATGTGTGGATTGGGGTGCGCGGGTTAAGACGGCGCTTAAAACGCCCCAAGCGTCCCTTACCTTCTACAGCCATTCTTTCAGAGCTTCCCTAACGCATGCATAATTTTCTTGGCCGAGGTACTCCTCCTGCCCCGCGCTCCCCCCCTCCTCTCGCTTTCGCCTAAATATTCTGCGCTCATCTGCTCCAGGACCAACCTGCCGCGGTCACGCAAAGCGAGGCAGCCGGCTCGGCTCGGCGCGGGGCGGCCTGGGAAGTGTAGTTCCCGCCGTTCGTGGGGACCCGGGAGCGCACCCCCAGTCCTGCCCGGGCCCCGCCCCGCAGCCGCACTCCCAGGCGCCCAAACCCAACAATCTCTCCTGGGGGTCTGCTGAGGGCCCCGAGGTCTCGGGGGATGGAGTTACAGGTGTCCCGGAGGTGGCAGGGACTACATCTCCCAGGAAGCTGTGCGCTGGGTTTCTCTGGGCGCTAGGAGTAGGGACCCGTGATTGAGACCTTCCCTGTCAATTAGAAAGGGTTAGGCACCTAGCTCCGGTGGTGAGGGAGGCAGGAGGCTGCCGGGTTGGCGATGGGCTCTTGTGAGCTTGTCCACTGGCTTCAGCCGCCCGCGCCGACCCCCGGCCTCCTGAGCCACCGGCCGCCTGTGGTTCACCTGGGCCAGAGACTCGCTGCACAGGGCGCAGGTGAAATGTGTTCCTTCGCACCCCAGGGTGTGTGGGGTTTGTTGGGAATCCTGCCATTTGATACAGCTGTCTTCTGATCCTGCTGGGTGGTTCTGGTGGCTACTTTGCATGGGGTGGTAAGGGTGGCTTAAAATTCCCCAACAGGCAACATCCCAACGGGTTATTAGGAGCAAATCCAGGAACCAGAGTTCCACCAGAGGATGTCAGATGTCTGGGGTAGGAAGTTTTCAGCTTGCCTCTCCTGGGAACCTGCTGCAGCCTGTGATAGGGCCTGATAATTAAAAGTGCCTAAGAAGCAGTGTTCTTTCAACTTCTAAACCTATGCCCTAACTCCGGGTACTGGAGGTGCTGTAAGCAGGCAGATGAAGGGGATTCACGTGGGAAATAGAATACCAGAACTGGTAAATATTGGAGAAAATTAAGTTTCCAAACATTTTTTTCCTGCATATGGAAATACAGGTAACAATTATGGCTGCTAGGAGTAAGGGAATGGCCTTGGGGACAAATCTGTCTCAGGATTGGATTAAGACTTTTAAAGGCCTTGAGCTTAGAAAAGCGTGTGATGCCACATCCACCCAGCATCCATCTCCCTGCCCCCATACATAATTTTTTTAACTACTCTGTAAAATAGCTCTAAAGAAGTACAAAACTCTGATGCTTCCCGTGGTGACTACTTAGTCATTTCTTTATCTTGGCCATCGGAATTTTTGTTGTCCTTGTTTTTCAGAACAACTTTGTTTCTGAGTATGTATGTGCTCACCTGTTTTTCTGGTCACTAAGTATATGTTTAGTCTTCCTATTGAGTAATAATGACTGTGTATAGGTGCTTTTAAAAATGCCTGTGTGTCGATAGTAATATTCTCCAGGGATTAAAGGGTTGGGAGTGGATAAACTCACAACTAATGGATGCGGAGAGCATTGCAAGGGGGAAAAGGCACACCCTAAATCATGGTTTGGGTGCGGCAAAGTCAACATGTATCCAAAATGTTTGTACCCCCATAATATCCTGAAATAAATAAATAAATGCCTGTGTGTAACCAAAACGCTTTTGGTAATACCTTAGTTCTGAGTCCACGGAGCTGTGTGCAAATCCCTCCCATCCTATGTACAGGAAAGAGAGACCAGTTTAGTGAGGTACAATTTCCTTGGGAAAAAAAAAATTCCAACCTAGTATGCAGCCAAGCATTCTAAGATCTGGAAAGAACTGAAATTCAGGTTGGTCCCTGCTCCCTCATGTATAAAAATCATCAAAGCGTTTAGCCTTTTCTGAAATTTAATAAATGGAAAAAGAAAGTCGTAGGACAGGCAGTATCAATGTCCTCTTTGATCACCTTAAATGTGCATCAGCCTTTTACAAGCAAATACTCCTACACCTTACCTTAATCTCATAGAATTAGGATTTCTGGGGGTTTGCGTAGCAACAGTTAAGTTTGCAAAATCCACAGGTGATTCTAATCTTCAGTGAACATGAAAACCATGTGGTCCATTTTCAAGCTTTTAAAAATATGGGTAATATTAAAATAGAAAAGTCACTGAGAACCATTGTTAATTCAAAAACTTCATTTTGGCTCAAGTATTTAATATCTTTCCCAAATGACGTATATTCTAGTTGAGTTTCATTTTTCACATAAATATAAATAAGATATGTAAAGGAAATATTAGTTTCAATCACATGAAATAGCCAATGTTATTGGACCTTTTTGTTAAACCTATAAATAAAGCAGTATCATGTGGTTCAACCTAATTAAAAAGTACAACAGTTGAGCAGAGGGTTTCAAGTCTGGCTGAATATGAAAATCACCTGAGAAGCTTTGAAGAAAAAAATCACCACCAGTATGGCCCAAAGAAAAAGACATAAAATACCAATTCTTGGCAAAATTGTGAAGCAATAAGGACTCATATATTGCTGGTGGTAAGCAAATTAATACAACCACTTAGGAAAACCATTTGACATATTAAGCTGAGTACATGCTTATCCTGTGACCCAGCAGTCCTATCCCTAGGTGTATAACATATATATACACACCCATACATACATGTTCTTCAAAATATATGTACAAGAATATTTATGGCTGCCTTATTTTATTTATTTTCTTCAAAACATATGTACAAGAATATTTATGGCTGCCTATTAATAGCCTCAAATGGAAAGCAACCCAAATATTCATCAACAATAGATTGGAAAAATATATTATGGTATAATTGAACAATCTTATATAGCAGGGGTCAAAAAACTATGGCAAGTGAGAAAAATATGGCTTGCCGCTTACTTTTTTATGGCTCACCATTTAAGTTGATTTTTACATTTTTAAATAGTTGAGGGAAAAAATCAAAACAATAATATTTGTGACACAGGAAATCATACAGAAATACTTACATAATATTCTCAGTTTTGCCTCTTGGCCTGAAAAGCCTAGAATATTTCCTTCCTAGCCCTTTGCAGAAAAAAAAAACGTTTGCCAAACCTTGCTATAAAGTAACGAGAATGAATGAATTAAAACTGTGTACAACAACATGGATGAAACACATGCATTAATTATCTATTGTTGGTAACAGATTACCCCAAAATTTAGTGGCTTGAGAAAATACCTATTTATTCAGTTTCTGTGGGTCAGTAATTGGGGCACATCTTAGCTGGGTCCTCTGCAGCTTAGTATCTCACAGACTGCAATCATATGTTGTTTAAATGACTGTTACTTTTGGTATCTGTCATCAGCAGCCAAGTATAGTTCTTAACTGATACACCCTATTTTAATAAGGAACAAAGTCCGGCTTTCTTCCCACGACTCTCATAAGCCAAATTCTGTATTCATTGTTATGCTATCGTTTGTTACTTGTGGTATATAAGCACCTCAAGTGCTGGGACTGAGCCATATGCTTCATATCTTCTACACTAAATGTTTTTGACTTGTATTGCCATTATTTTTATTGTTATTATCAGTAGCATTTATTGAGTGATTACAAGCACCCAAGCTCTGTACTGAGCACTTTCACATACATTATCTCCTTTAAATCACTGTAGTATTGTCAGATACCACCCTTTTCCAGATGAGGAAATTGAGGCTGAGTGAGGTTAAGTAATTTTCTCAATGTCTCAAAAATATGAAAGAGTAGCAAGGGGATTGAGGTCTGAGTGTAGAACTTTGTAGTGTCACTCTATCTCAATTCCAATACTGATTACATGATTACTAATCTGATTTCATGAGCTCTGGGCTAACTAGAAATTATCAATAATATTAAAATGAAGGGTTTTAAACATGTTAATATCAGAAAACATGATATTTAGAATGATTCAATAATTTCTGAATACATCAGAAGGCACAGAAAGCACAGAAGTCCCTTACCTTATAGTGATGTAAATGAAAAAAAGAAATATTAAGACAAGACTAGAGATTTCACCAGATCCCAAGATTTAAAATAGTGTATGTAGGTACTTTACTGTATTTATTGTTCTAACTAGGTTGTTATATTCACAAATCTCCATAGAAAATATTCATAAATCTCAAAAGTGGATATATTGGTCATGTTTCTATTCTGTCTAAGGACATCTTATAAATCTAACCGGAAAGATTCAAACCCTCAAGACTAAAACTTTTGACATGATGGAACTTAAAGGAAAAAATAATTTTCTGTTATTACAATAGAAAATAACAACTCTTTCTAATCCTTGAGTCATGAACAGAAGTGCTAACTATTCAAGTCATATCAGGCTTCTGTTGGAGGAAGTAAGCGTATTTCAGGAAACATGGTTTAAGCAAAAGCCTAGTTATTTTTGCTTAAATCACATTATGTGTGATTTAATCACATTGTGTGTTGTCTATATAGGTTGGTGAGATTCTATAGCATCCTTGTTTTAAACTATACTTTCAAAATCAAAGACTCAAATTATCTTTCCAAAATGGGAACAGAATCTACTTGTTTGTTAACTGTGGTTGCCTTAATATCTGACTGAAATGTTCACAACACTTCATAGATGTACAGAACAAGGTGGTAATCCTGACTGATACTTACTGGATGTTGGTGATTGGTAAAGTTCTTTGACATTTCTGTGCACTAGAATCTTATTAAATGTACAATGTATATATCCCTAACTCATAGTTTGGTCCTGGCACATACTGGACACCTAGTAGGTGTTTGCCCTCATCATCATCATTCAAGGAAGCCTCAGAAATCATTCCCCAAAGACATAGATATATCTTATTAAGTGGTCACACAAGCCTCCAAGCTAGTTGTGGGGGCTGAACCAAGTCTGCCAGTCTGATGTGTAGTTAAGTCACAGAATGAACTTGAGTTGGTCAATGCAAAGCCTTCCAGACGATCAGGAAAACATGGCTGTGTTGTGGGAAAGCAGTGTACTGGACACTTGCCCATTCTTTTGATAGATTCTGTTGATAGAAAAGAGTGTGGGATTATCGTGGGCTGTAATGGCTGATTACAGACAAACTTTTTGTGCTCTGCAGTTCCCACCCTGAAGTAAATCTGCTGTGGTTCTTCTTAGCAGAGTTGTTCCCCGACTAGCGGAAACTGTAAACAGTCTTTAACAGCATCAGA